AAACCGTGGGCCTCGACCGTGGTGTTGGCAAGCGGCCGGATGGCATTACCATTTTCTCTTTTAAAGTGGGAAAGTTGTTGATTTGGGATGCGACCTGTGCGGACACATTTTTGACCGGTAATTTGATCAGGTTCGCCGTTGAGCCGAGGTCTGCTGCACGGGAGGCGGAGATAAAAAAAATAGTTGAATATTGTTCTCTTGCAGATAAATTATTTTTACTCCAGTGGCAGTGGAGACTTCTTACACACACACACACACACATATATATATATATATAATTATTTTTTTTAAATAATGCTTTCTCCATCGTTGCGGCTGGCAGAGGATAGCAAAGAAAAAAAAAAAAAAAAAAAAAAGAGAAAAAAGCATTTTGTTTTTGTTTATATCAAATAATTGTCAGATTTTAATGAAACTTTCAGGACTTATTCACAAATGAATGAAATTATTTTTGAAAATTTCCTTTTTAGAAAATCATGGTAAAAAGTATTTTTTTAATGGGTTTATTTATCTTTTCTCCTCACTTTCTCTGTGTATTTTTTCCCCAGTATGTTCTTATCTATCTATCTATCTATCCCCAAATCTGTACTATATTTCATTAGATATTATTATTATTGATTAAAAAGAATATATTTTAGTTTTTATTTCAGATTCATCCTTTTGACTTCTTCAATCATTCTTGGAGCGTAATATTGGAGAGCATGTATAGATTTCCAAAGATGGGCGTCGTTCTTTCGGAACAAGACAACCGGAATTATGGTCTCTTCCTTTGCCATGATTCTCACCCCCTCTTCTTTTCTAGTCTTTCCATCAGAATTGCCGTCCTTCGGTGACATCAGACGTCATCAGTTAATCCCATAACAACACAGTTCTTTTTTTTTTAATGGGGTGCTATTGCTAGGAGTGACGGCTAGTGGGGGAGAGGGCGGTTGGAAGAAGAGAACGTTCTTTCCTTCCTTTCAGACGCACGTCCCCACCGCCGTTCTGTTGCTTTTCTACATTTGCCGCCCATAAAATGGAAGACATTTTGTTCTGCAGCCGTTGACAATTACCCCATGAACTTATTTTTTCTCGCTACCCTCACAGTGACATACGATAACTACTTTTTAGCATATTCTCTCTCTCTCTCTCTCTCTCACACACACACACACACACATATATATATACATATATATATAAATCTAGGTATATATATATATATATATATATATAAATCTAGGTATATATATATATATATATATAAATCTAGAGTATATATATATATATATATATAAATCTAAATCATATATATATATATATATATATATAAATCTAAATATATATATATATATATATAAATCTATATATATATATATATATATATATATATATATATATCTAGGTATATATATATATATATATATATATATATATATATATATATATATATATATATGAGTGAAAAGAATATGTGAAATAGAAAAATATTATTAAGGAAAGAGGACAATAAAAGAACAGGAATTAAGAAAACAGAAGACAACCATTTATGTTTCATTTAAATTTTGGAAGATCAAAGTTGACTGCAAAGCAAGAAGTCAGAAGAGAATTCCACAAGAAAGAAGTACGATAGAAGAAACTGCTAGCATAAAACTTACGGTCTCATCTCGCCATTTCAACTGTAAAATGATGAGACCTAGCCGCCAATCTAGTACTGCGATGAAATTCATGAATTCATAGTGCGATAGGTGAAAGTTCATTAGAACAATGGAAGTATTTATAGTAAAGACATAGGGAAGCCACCTTACGGCGATGGGAAAGCGACTGAAGCCAAGATGCCAGGTCAGGACCAATAGCATTGCAGATTCTTCTTTGGATTTTATCAAGAATCGCTGTATATATATAGCAGCTATATTTATCTGCCCCCCCCCCCCACGTGGGGTAGCATGTGGCACAAGGCCGAGTTTAATGTGGGTCATCCGAGCCCGTAGGCCCGGCCAAAAATATAGCCTTCGACCAGCCTAGGCGTGTTTGAGAGCTGTCACAACCTCCCCGAACGAAACCTTGTCCTTCGGCAAAGCTTCGTCCGGGTTCCTCCCTGCTAATGCAGAGAGTTAGACAGACGGCGGTTGCTGTAAGTTTGATACAGCTATATATATATAGCAGCAGCAGCACCAGACCATATGTAGCAACAATATTCGACGCATCGATGTGTAAATGTGTAAGAAAGATTCTGGCAAGAAAAATTGTCGAGCACGACGACACAGTGAACCAACTTTCCTATCAGCAAACCTAGCAATTGATTCAATATAATATTACCACTTCATTTCATCGGTACAATAGCCTAGTCGACTAAAGCGTTGGTTCGTGAATTTGTTGATATAGTAATTATGAGTTCAATCCCTGGGTGTACGTGGAAATGGAACGAGAAATAACTGAGCAGTATGAAATAAGAACAAGACGAGATAACCTTTGACATAGTGATAGGAACAAGATCAATCGGTTCCCATAGATTAAATAAAGGGTCCAGTTCTCGGATCAACAAGCATCTGATGATGGTTGGAGAACACAACGGCCGAAAATTTATGATAGTAACAACAAAGATAAGGATAATAGTCAGCATGTAAATAGCATAAGTAAGAAATTCCTCCAACTTTAAAAATTAACTATTTAATTTTAATAAAATTTTCAGGTATTGTTAAATAAAGAATGAATGTAAAAAAATAAATTTTTATTTCAAATTTCGGATTAAATAAAGGACAATGGTTGAACATAACACAAGTATTGAACGAACGAGTGGCGGGGTGGGGAAGAGAGCTTTACTGACGAGTTCTGAAGAAATTGGGGATCTGAGAAAAATGGTTGAATTCTACAGCAGGGTAAGCCAGACATCACTATAGAAACGTAGATATTTGTGAAAAGTGATAGTCTGAAAAGTTTACTTGTACACATAAAACCGTCATCAGCTGCAGAAAATGGCCTCCAATCTTTTGTAGACTGGGGCAAGAAATGGCTGGTAAACTTTAATGTCTCAAAAACAAAACTGCTCTCTATTACCCACCACAGAGAACTCTTCCTGCCTCCCATTAAAATGTCTGATGCTCATCTCCACAAGAGCACCTTTCTCGCCTCTTTGGTCTCACACTGTCCTCTGACCTGACATGGAGCAACTACATTGAATCAATAGCTTCATCCACCGCAAGGAAAGTTGGTTCCCTGTGTCGCGCCAGAAAGTTTTTGTCGCCCGAGTCCATACTTCAAATATATAAATCAAACTTACATGGAATACTGCTGTCATATATGTTCTGGTACCCCTGCTGTTCGTCTTAGGGTCCTCGACAAAGAGACAGATATGCAATGATTGGCCCTGATCTGGCATCTCGTTTACAGTCTCTCTCTTTCAAAGACGTGCCGTCGCTTCCCTCTGTCTTTTCTACAAATACTTTCACGGTAACTGCTCCGACGAGCTATTTTCGCTGATTCCCAAACTGCATGAATTTAAACGTGCAACTAGCCTGGCATCTCAGTCCCACTTTTTCACTGTCGAAGCGGTTAAATGTAGCCGTCTCTTCTACTCCAATAGCTTCATGTCTCGTACTTTCCGTCTATGGAAATCCCTTCCTCTTACTTACTTCCCTGATAGCTATAATCTCCAACTATTAAAATGCAATGTCAATCGACATCTTCAGATGCCTTGATCTAATTTCCCGTCCTTCTCTCCGTCCTTTCCTCTATTACGCCTCTTTACTCTCGCTCTCACTCTCTGTAACCCCTTGCGTGCTAGTCGCACTCCTGCCTTGCTTGGGGCGAGATGCTAAAAAAAAGAAAAAAAGAAAGTAGTATCTGTTCCGTGCCGGAGGCCTTCTCTCCGCCCTTGAGTCACCCGCCGTTGTATGACATCTGTTACGTAATGGTGGTATGATCGGCTATGACTAGCTTAGACAAGGTATGACCAGCTAAGACAAGCTTCGACAAGATTTGACCAGCTTAGACAAGCTTTGACCAATTTAGACCAGCGATCCAAGTGGAAACATTTGGGTCTCCACGTTAAAAACTGACCTTGCGTCACAACCTGGCTCAGTCGGGGGTCAAGTGAATCTCGAGGTTAACTCTTTTTCTTCGTCAATTATTTTGGGAAAAGTGTTTTATTTTCAGACGATTTTTAAAAATTTGTTTTTAATATAGTAACTAAGAAACTGAGGTACCTTGACTTAACCGAGCGGGTGACTACCAACTCTACCAGACGCGTATGCGTTGACAAATGGACCCGTTTCAAGCTCAGAATGGCATAAAAAAGAATCAAGATCGACGTCTAAACACGTCTGTAACCGTTTTTGGACGTGATGTTTTGGACGTGTTTATTCGTCAGTGTCTGAAAAGAACACTTTTGTATATACACGTCTACGCCAGGTGGAAGGGGGTTAAACAACGAATCCTGAAGAGAGATTGTTATTCTGTGGAATGGCTGGATACTACAACAGGAGAAGCCAGACATCAAATTATTCGAGTGGATTCAGTGTAGTGCTTGGCAAGAGGCAGATTTAAGTTTTTTTTTGTTGGGGGGATGATATTTTCTGGAAAAAATTCGAATAATTTTTGGATGCTGGAATCCGCAAACACGTAGCGCCGGATATACCCACCTTGGATCCCAACCCCTAAACTTGACTGATAGTCAGAATGCAGCGCCCACTACCCACTAACAGTAGATGTGTTTCTTATTAATTGTTTCGTTAATATGGCCCAGTGTAAAAGTTTGAAAAGTCCAGCAAACAGAGAGACGTGTTTATCTTACATTTTAAAACAGGCTTGTGTCATAAATCAAATTTCCCCACTCCATTCGTGGGGTGTTTTGCAAGATTAGCAAACATAGTGCAACCCACTTTGGGCCAGAGGTTCACAAGTGCGACCTCTAGAAGACAAAAGCGCCAAGTCGGGAGCGGTGATAGTTGGGTTGCTGATCATTAAACGCGACAAGTCTGCATAAGTACAAGTGTTCTTGTAGCACGTTCTCTTTTCCTGCACAAACAATGCCCTTCCCCCCCTATTCTTTACTTATATCTCTTTTTCTTTTTTTCTTCTCTACTTCTCTTTTTATTGTTCTTGTTATTCTCTTTTTTCTTCTACTTTTTTCTTCTCTTCTTCTTCTTCTCTTCTTCTTCTTCGCGTCCTCTTCTTCTCTTTATCTTCTCTTCGTCTTCTTCTTCTGTCGAGTTAGCTGCCCTTTAGTCTTACACAGGTGCACATTGACATGCAAAGTTAATGTCGACCGTTTTCTGTTTTTCTCACGCTGTCCCTTATTCATTGTCTCATTTAATCACTCCGTATCCCTCTCTCACATTCTGTCTCTATTTCTTCCTCACGATTTAACTTTCTTTCATTCTCTTTCTGTTTTTCTGTCTCTGTCTTTTTTTGACACCTTCTCCTTTTCCTTTATACCATTTCTGTTTGTCTCTTTATCAATTCTTTCATTCTCTTTCTCTATCACTTTCTTATTCTGCACCTTTTTCTTACAATCTCTCTTCTTCTCATTCTGTTTTTCTCTTCTTATTCAGTTGGTTTTTTTTTCTTATTTTTCTTCTTTCTTTCAGTATCAAATCTCTTTGTTTTTTTCAGTCTGTCCTATTTTGCTACTAACGTCCTCTCTCATTTTATCATTCTCTTTCCTTTCCTATTTCTCTTTCAATCATTCAGTTCTCTTTTCTTATTGACAACCTCTCCCTTTCATTCTATTACTATTTCTCTCTTTCTATTTCTCTCATTTTGTCCCTTTTCCTATTGACGACATCTCTCTTTCTTTTATTCGCTTTCTCTTTCACTCGGTCCCATTTTCTCATTCAAGAGCTGTCTTTCTATTTTTCTCTCTCTCTCTCACTTTTTCACTCTCTCTTTCTCTCTGTCCTTGAAATTGTGCCTGTTTCTTATTAACGACCGTTCATTTTCTTTCATTCTGTTTCTCTCACCCTCTCCATTTCTCTTACTAGAAATCTCTTTCCTTTTTCATTCTCTTTCTATTCTTCTCTCACTCTCTCTCATTCTGTTTCCTTTTCTTATTGACGACCTCTCTATTTCTGTTATTCGTTCTCTCTCTCATTCTATTTCTTTTTATTAAAGAGCTCTCACCTCTCTCTTTCACTTTCTTTCTATTCCTTTCTCTCATCATCATCTCCCTTCTCTGTCACTGTTCCTCACTTTTTCTTTCATTCCGTTTTTATTCCCCTATCTCCTTCTTCCTCCCTCTCTCTCTCTCTCTATATATATATATATATATATATATATATATATATATATATATATATATATATATATATATATATATATATATATATATATATCTTCCATTTTCTTTTGTTTTTATCTTGTTATCTTTTTTGCGTTTCTGATTTTATCTTTTTCGTCCTTTACTTTGAGACATAGTCTCACAAACCTGTACATGAAAAACGTTCGTTTTCCCTCTAATTTTCGCCTTCTCTTCATATTTTATGGATTGCAGTGATAAGTTGATATATTATAACGACAAGAAGTATGTAGAAAATGGAACAAGACATGTACAACGTAACAGGTGTATTCACCAACTGACTTACAACAGATAAAATATACAGGAAGTATAAAATTAACCCCTTCTCAAAGAGTTCCTAAGAAAGGGAGATAACTGCATCCATACTTTACTTTAGTCTAACATATTTATCTGTCGAACTCTAGCTTTCTTTACAAACGTGCACACACAGACACAGACTAGTTCACTAGTGACCACAACCGATTAGTATCTAACTTTCTATCTCAATAAAATTTCTGACATATTAGGATCTTTTATTCTAAAATAGTAAAAATGTAACCCAAATCCTCAGTGTGATTTCAGGAGTGTTTTCAGATCTTTCATGATGAAGATTTTTAGAAAGGTAAAAATGTAAACTACAGTTAGAGAATGTACTGTGGTAAATCGAACGTGTCAAAAGTGTTGGTTTGGTTTGGTTTGTTTTACGGTATTTCAACCTCAATGAGTTATTTAATGCCGACAAAAATTTTATTGCTTGTAATATTTTTTTTCCAAAAATGTATTGCCGGTAATATTTTTTCTTCAAAAAATCTATTGCTGGTAATATTATTTTAAAAAATAGTAATAGTTTTTTTACAAAAAAAAACAAACAAAACAAAACGATTTTTACACTTTCGTAGTGTTTTGACCCCAGTTTAAGGGTTAAATGTTTGCCCATGGCTGGGACCCTAACAGGTGCTACCACCACGAGTCAGGTTGGACCTGGGAACACCAGCAATTAAGATATGATTCCACGCTCTTCAAAATCTGATCAGAGGCCTTGTTGTTGGATGTAGTTTATTGTCTTACACAGGTCTCGGATGTAGTTTATCGTCATACCCAGGACGGGTTTTGTGTTGGATGTTATTTGTTGAAAAATGTCCCACGGTCGTGTAAACATGTCGCATCCCATATCCTTGGGGATCTGCCTTTCTGTATCAAGTGCCTTACTTATTAGACTACAAAAATAGAGGTTATTTAAAGCCAAATATCTCTTCTTTAATTTCTCCATATGTCAGATACGATGTCATATATTAATGATAATTTTCAACTAGGAGAATTAGTTGTAATATAAGCATATTTCTTGGATGCAATATAATAAATTATTATTAATCTTCTTTTCATTACTGCTGAATACCCAATACAAGGCCCAAGAGACACTCCAGGTAGTTACTGAATGAGGTTGTTGAAAGTGTTGAAAGTAACGATTGACCCAAAAGTTGAATAGGTTAATCGTGTAGTGACCGGGGAAATATCCTCGTGGGACCCTGTTCTACAAAATAGTGGTTTTGGGGAAAAATCTGTCAGAATGGAACTTCCTCCTTAACAATGGAATACAGAGATTACTCTATATGTAGCATAGAGAGTCTTAGCTATAAAGGTTTGAACTCGTGGAAGAAAAGAATGTAACTCGACAGAACATTTGCATGGAAATAGTGATAGTGTAATAGTGTAAATAATAATACCTATTTTCAGAAATATAGACAAAAAACTTTCGTTAGAAACAAAGAAAAGAGTTCTGAACTGTCATGTAATATCAGTTTTCGTATATAGCAGTGAATGCTGGTCAATTTCTTCACAGATGAAGAGCAGACTTAAGGCAAGAGAGTTGTGGTCCTACAGTAGGATGATGTGTATACCATGGATGTAGCAGTTAAGCAACGAGGAGCTTTTAAGGAAAATGGAAACATTTCTATTTAAAATCACATTTCTATTTAAAATCAGAAAGATTCTGAAATTTCTGGAAGCTCTAAGAATTTGACACTCACAGATCAAGAGAAACAGAGGGAAGCAGCGAGTAACCTATGACAGAACAGAGAAAATCTGTGATAGATTGATTAATTTGTGTGCTTAACGGCATATCAACATCCTTATGGGTCATTGAATGCCGAAATTTAATTTTCTTTGGAACTTTGAAGTAATAAAAATATATGTTATTCTGCTTTCACAGTTGAATCCATGGTAGATGATACTCAGCTTTCATGCATATAAATGTTTGTGTGAACATAATTACTAGAGGCAGTGACATGTGTGTTTTATGTTGTAGTTTTGTTGAAGTTATATTTTCGAATACAGTTTGATTTCTTTAAGAAATTGTCGAATATTATATGGATTAATATCATGAAAGAGTTCTTTCATGTTGGTAATTTTATTTTATTTAGTGGCATATCAACCTCTATGGGTTATTTATTGCGGAAATCTAAATATTTTGAACATAGTTTTATGGCTTCAACTACAAATAAACTGTATTGTTGGCCATTTTGGTATAGAATTTATTGTTGGCAATTCTACTATAAATACGTATTGTTGGTATTTTTTCTATAATAATATATTGCTGGTATTTTTACTATAAAAATGTATTTTTATACTTTCATAGTGTTTTGTTTGGGGGTTCATTATTTGCCCATAGCTGGGACCCCAACAGGTGCTATCACCGCGGGTCAGGGGTGTGATAATAAAAAGGCAAATATTGTTAAGAATTACAAAGGATAGGAAGTTGTGGAGATAGATGATCGCACAGAATTTGATAAAAGAAGACAATCTATCATTTTGCAAAGCCTTTTCTTTTTATCTTACTTTATTCAACACCATTATTATAGATAAGGTCATTTAACATTTAGTTTCCTTTTCTGTATTCTTTAAGTTCTTCTGTTCATACCTCTTTGCTATCAATGGCGATTCGTATATTTTTTGCTACTTATTTAATCAAACGGAAATGATATTGAGTGGAATCGGTTTTCTTTCAGTAAACTGCGATAAAATCGGCCATTTTGACACAATTGTAAACAAAAGTTAATTCTCGGTTTGAAAAATATTGCAAAAATAAAACATATATTTCTGAAACGTTATTTAAGGAAAATTAGAAAATTTAAAGTTAAATTAATCTGATTTTAAACAAATATAACTTGCTTATAGTATAAAATGTTGTAAACAAGCATTTCTTAAGTTTCTTGTTTTTCTGAAACGTTATTTAAGGAAAATTAGAAAATTTAAAGTTAAATTAATCTGATTTTAAACAAATATAACTTGCTCATAGTATAAAATGTTGTAAACAAGCATTTCTTAAGTTTCTTGTATTTTTGAAACGTTATTTAAGGAAAATTAGAAAATTTAAAGTTAAATTAATCTGATTTTAAACAAATATAACTTGCTTATAGTATAAAATGTTGTAAACAAGCATTTCTTAATTTTCTTGTTTTTTTGAGGTTATGATCGATTTATTGACCGACTAACGTGTTGACAATTAAGTATGGCGAAGCAGAATTGCTAGAAGCCGATAAATTAGTTTTTTTTCCATAAGGTTGGGGGCAACTCTTAAAACATACGATGATGTCACGTATGAAATAGCAGACTGAGAAAAATTAGAACTTATATACACGAAAAAAATTGAAATTCTTTCAAAAAATATTCAGTTTCCGTTTCAATGGTGTAACTCTTAGGAAATAATGTTATTAAGTAAAACTATATTTATTAATCATATATCGTAAAGCTTTACATATATGATTAGTAAATATAGTTTTAGTTAATAACAATATTTCCTAAGAGTAACACCATTGAAACGGAATTTAAAAAAATTAAAAATTTATATAAATCATTCAATTTAAAATTGTAAACAAATCTTGTAAAAATTCATTTTTCATCGAAAAACGTGCACTAAAAACGTGCACTAAAAACGTGCACTAAAAACGTGCACTAAAAACGTTTTTTCTCCCGGTTACTCTTTATGGTCTTTTCCATGTCATACTTTATAGTCATTTCCCAGATATTCTTTAAGGTCTTTTCCCTGGCGTTACTTATGGCCTTTTCCCTCTTATCCCGTATGGTCATTTCCCTCATATTCCTCATGGTCGTTTCCCTGTTATTCCTCATGGTCTTTTCCCTGTTATTCCTTATGGTCTTTTCCCTGGTATTCTTGTGGTCTTTTGTCTGTTATTCCTTATGGTCTTTTCCCAGTGTTCCTTAGGATATTTTCCCTGTTTATATATATATATATATATATATATATAAAACTTTTCTCACAAATTCATTCACAGCATCCTCGTCTATAGCTTTCTATTTTCACGTCTTCTCCTCCTCTGTTTTTTTTCTATCGTCTCCTCTCCTTATCACCCTCCCACACTCATTCTCTCTTCTTTACTCTTGTCCCTTTTTTATTACTTCTACTTCTCACTGCCACTCCCCTTTCTTTCATAATATATCACCACCCTCTACTCTCTCTATATCTCTATCTCACTGCCACTCCCCTTTCTTTCATAATATATCACCACCCTCTACTCTCTCTATATCTCTATCTCCCGCTACACTCATTCACTTGTTTCCTATTTTCCTTTTAGTTCTCTCTTTCTTTCTCTCCCGTTCTCCCCTTCACGACTTCATTTTCTTTCTCAGCTTACGTCATCTTTCACCCTTTATCAAAAAGGTCTATCTTAATTGTGCGCCTTTTGCACTGAGACAAATTGCTTTTTTATGTCAAGGTTTTCCTTGACTGTCACCTGCTTCTCATATGACTTTTAAAAAAAAATTTCAAGTAAGGCGATGTTGTCACTAAGTTTCAAGTGGTTACTGGAAGTGGAAAGGGAATGAGAAGAATTTAGTGAGAAGAAAGGACAATAAAAGAACAGAATTCAGAAAAAAACCGAAGAAGTTGATTGACGCTGCATACAACATAGTTAGCAATCTAGTAGTTGAAGTACTGAAGAGAAGAGCTCATTCAGAACAATTAGCATATATATATATATATATATATATATATATATATATATATATATATATATATATGTATATATAAAACACACACACATATATATATGAATTTATTATATTTATTCGAAAATTATAACATAAATATGTTATAAAATCACTACAAAAATAGCCATGTTGTTTCAACACTTCTGTGTCTTATCAAGTGATGGTGTAATCTTCCAATAATAGTAATTATAAGAAAAGAAAAAAGAGAACACTCTGTATTGATCACTCTTTTAAGAATAGTATTTGTTGGTTATTGGAATTCATTCCGCATAAACCAATCCTATACTTATATATATATATATATATATATATATATATATATATATATATATATATATATATTCGTTTCATATTGTATGATAAGCTTAATCACATTATCGTTGAAAGACGAAAGGAAAAGACCATATTGATACATATTTAAATCCAATCTAAGCTTTCGGCTTACATAACCCATTAGCAAAGATGACAATTTCAATAAATCAATGAACACACGGACGAAACAACTTGCTGCATGAAAATTTCAAAGTAACGACAAACTCGGAAGCGAAAATCGCATCGCAGCTCGTGACGTCAACGATAATGTGATTAAGCTTATCAGACAATATGAAAGGAACTTACTTAAAATAAATAGACAAATCTCGTCTATTTTATTTAATGAAATATGCATTAATGAAAAATTGCTGCCTAAATATATGCATATATATATATATATATATATATATGTAGAAATATGGTCTAAAGATGTGCTATATTTATGGGATAAAGTGCTCAATATCAGAGATAGAGCGTGTGTAAATATAAAAGTGATCATAGAAGTCAACAGTTAGAGGCGACAGTCTGTTTCATGCTATATGCAATCGTCAGGCCACGTGTGCTGTTATTTTTTTCTCGGCCTTTTATACATGTATAAATAGCCGAGAAAATAACAGCACACGTGGCCTGACGATTGCATATAGCATGAAACAGACTGTCGCTCTAAGTGTTCTATGTTCACTATATATATATATATATATATATATATATATATATATATATATATATATATATATATATAACAACACAAACGCATTGGCTGTTTACTGTAACGAAACTGACCACTGTTTTGTCAAAAGAAAATGCTACTGTAATTAAAAGAAAAGATATTTCACTAAGACGGAAACGTCTAGAAATCACTCGTTCAGTCACAGTAAATTGACGTCCAGGTTCTTACAGCGATTCACCATTCTTGGCAGAGCTTCTATTACCAAAATGTGGAATAATAACAAATATGATGGAAACAAAAGAAAAAGAATCCAAATGAAATTAGCTAGATTATATTACCCAAAACACATATAAATTTCTTTTTTCTAAATTTAAATTCCCAGCGTCTCTCGTTTATGTATATGTGTAAACACATCAATGTATTGTAAGCTATCGTTGTATGCTTAATGTGACTAGCTTAATTAGTGGATACAACATGAGAAAAATTAAGGATAAACCACGTACAGCCCCTCCCAAATGTTATTGTAGAAATAAGAAAACCTGTCCTCTCCAGGGAAAGTGCCAGCAAGAGTGCGAAGTATACCAGGTAAAAATATACAAGGATAGACTTAACAATACTGATGAAAATCCTAAAGTATAGGATCTACCCAAAACAGTTTTAAAAAATCGGTATTATAACCATATTATTAGTTTTAATAACGAAAAATTCAAACATAATACCACGTTATCTACGTACGTATGGAAAATTAAACATGACTATAATAAAATGGGAAATATTAAAGAAATGCCATAAATATAAAGCAGGTAATAAAGTTTGTCCTCTATGTATAGAGGAAAAGTTAATCAGCGCTTTATTTAAAGAACCTAATAATTTGCTAAATTTAAAAACGGAAATCTTAAGTGTAGACATAGAAAACGCTGGTTACTACAATAGGTTTGTTTTTCTACTCTTGTTTTTTTATGTTTTCGAATAAATATCTTTCACCCCCCCCGCTACCGTTGTTGTATTACTGTTTGCCTTTTGGGGGGGGGTCATGTTTTTGTGTTGTAGGCTATATATTCTCTGTTCTTATAGCACCTTTTTAGTCAGTTTACCCTGACGATCCGCATAGGTGAAACCTAGGTAGGTTTGTCTGGCTCTTTAGGTTTGATTATTCGCAAATCAAGACACCAAATTTTTTCCGGACGAGTATAATTTCTTATACTTATAAGATTACTACTACTACTACTACTACTACTACTACTACTACTACTATTATATATATATATATATATATATATATATATATATATATATATATATATATCGTAATGCTTTCCTCCACAAGAAAGCGTAAACAATTTTGAAATCTATCAAGGCTTGGAATACACGAACGGGTATTGGTGGTGGCACCACAAATGAAGAATAGAGGCAGAAGTCTACGACTGCCACAGGATCACCAGTAACTCGCTAGCCCCGTACGAGACCCGTAACTGATCAGAGTTGTAAGGGCACCGCATGTACTGCAGCCGCGGTAGAAGTGGTGTATCTTGGGCAAGATAGCCTAACAGAGACCAACCTTCTACAGGCTGTGCATATTCCTGACAAACCAAACGAATAAAAAAAAAAAAATTATATTACCTACTATCACAACAGATGTAATGAATATGCATACACCTGGGTTCCCCCTCACAGTAATATGATTGGCTGGTGTCAGCCATAAATACAGACTGATGTAGAGGTACAGGAGGATGCCTATTGGCTACGACTATTGTCTACACCTATTGCCTACCACTACGATGAGGACCAGCCCATTACAGTTATCTGCTAGATTGTCCTACTCGGTTATAGTAGCCGCGAACCACTTTGCTACTTCGAACAAATATATCCCTTTCTGGGACATATCAACAACTACAACAGAAAAGATTTTATCTAAACTAAACATAAAATTTGTCACAACAGCATCTAAAACAATAACAGATTTAATCAATACAAAAGAACAAGCCGAAACCTAAAGGAAGAATTTACTCTATCGACTGCCAGAATTGCCAGAAGGAATATATTGGAGAAACCTCAAGAAGTTTAATCAAAAGACTATATGAAAACAAGAGAGATTGAAAAAAAAAAAAAACAACACACAAATGCATTGGTTGTTCGAAACTGACCACATTTTTGACATCAAAAATGCAAGTCTAAATAAAAGAGAAAATAATTCATTCAGATGAAAGTGTCTAGAAAGTGTTTTAATCGCTAATTCAGCCATAGTAAATTTATGTCCAGGTTTTTACAACGTTTCACCAATCTTGGTAGATTTTGTTATCACAATGTAGGATATTTAATAACAAAGATGATGGAAAGAAAAAAAATAATATGGATGAATTTGGCTAGATTGCAAAACATTCTTTCAAAAAAATGCTTTCCAAAAACTTTGAAACTGCCAGCGTCTCTCGTTCATGCACATGTGTAGTCACAACAACTTCCACAAATTCAGTCCGATGAAGTCCTAACGGATAAAACGCGTCACAAGTAAACATTTTCCATTCTGTCTTACAATTTTCTCAAGATATATATATATATATATATATATGTGTGTGTGTGTGTGTGTGTGTGTGTGTGTGTGTGCGCGTGTGTGTAGATAGATAGATAGATTTCTTTTAATCATTTCACCCCAAGCAAGGCGATAATGCCACCAGGACTTAGGGGAGTAAAAGGTTCTACTCTCCTACTCCACTAGGAGTAGGGGAGTAGAGCTTCTATTAAAGCTTCTGTTCTGAGGAATAGAAAAAGAAGGAACAGGGTTCAAGAAGACAGAAGATGGCGATTGACGTTACATTTCAATTTTTGAAGATTGTAGGCAGCAATAAGGAAAGAAATCGGAAGAGATTTCCACAAATGAAAAGTGCGAGAAAAGAAACTCTTAACTGAATAGAACTTACGGTTACATCTATCTATTCCAACGGTCAAACAATGAGACCTATTTGCCAATCTAGTAGCATGCTTAAATTCCGGCAGACGATTTACCAAGGAGAAGAGCTTATTAGAACAACTGACATGGAAATATTTATAGAAAAGACAGAGAGAAGCCACGTCACGACGGTGGGGGAAATGATTGAAGTCGAGATGCCAGGTCAAGACCGATAACATTACGGACCCTTCTTTGGTTTGGCGTCGAGAATCTGGATATATATAGCCGAAGCCCTAAACCGTATATCCAATGCACTGGCAAATGGTAGATTTACAAATATGCAAGATAGATTCCAATGAGAAAAATGTCTCTTGCTGCACAGTGATCCCTAGTAACTGATTCAATATAATTGATCCCCTTTATGTCAATAGACAACGTGGAACCAAGAAGTTGCAACGTGTTGTTCAATCGGGTGGAGGGTGGTTAGCATCATCCATGCTTTTTAAAAAGATTACTAACAAACAAAACATTAACCGGAAAAATTCAAAGATATTTAAATTATTGAAGTATATTTTGATTTTTTAATGAAGTCGAGATGCCAGGTCAGGACTAATAATATCACAAGGACTTTGGATTTTATTGAGAAACTGGAGTTATATACCAGGAGTACTAGATCAGATATGACAGTAATACTTTATTTTTTCTATTTAAAACTTTTTCTATTCTTTTTTTTTTCTATTTAAAACTTTTTCTATTCTTTTTTTTTATAATTTCATCTCAAGTAAGGCGATAATGCCACTAAGACGCAAGGGGTTACTGGGAGTGAAAGAGAATGAGAAGACTTTAGTGAGGAGAAAGGACAATAAAAGAACAGATTTCAGGAAGACAGAAGATGGCGATAATGTCACTAAAACTGAAGGGGTTACTGGGAGTGAAAGAGAAGGAGAAGACTTTAGTGAGGAGAAAGGACAATAAAAGAACCGAGTTCCAGAAGTGAAATGTGCGCTGGCGCATTTGTGGCACTTGCTGGTTTCGCTCTGGTGTTAAAGCAAATGGATGAAAATCGCAATAACAGAGGAACTCAGAATCGAAATTTAGGATTAGAAAATTCTGGAAAAAAAAGAGAAAAATGATAATTTGAAACATTCACAGTGTGAAATGTACTTCTCGCCTCTAAGAAAATAAATCTGATCTGTAATGATGGAATAAATATTACTGGGATGCGATGTTTGCAAAAACCCTCCCGAGAGCCTGTTATGAACGCGATGGTCACACGGTGCATGCCATTTCACTGCCAACTGAGTAACCAAACGGGAGAGTAGCCGTTCGCAAATTCACAGTCTTTGATTAGTTGTCAAATTAGATCAATGCCGCGCAGCCAGTTATCTATCTATCTATCTATCTATCTATCTATCTATCTATCTATCTATCTATCGCAGTCTGTTCATATCTATCTATCTATCTATCTATCTATCTATCTGA